ATCGCGCACCAAACTACAATGGTAATCTCTTAAGTAGGAAGGAGGATTGCGAACTCTTGTGGGTCTATGGTGACCKTTATCACCCGTTGGCATAGAATCRAAAATAGGAGGTTGAGGAGAGGATTGTGGATTTGAGTTATCATTCTGATTTGTCACACCATCCACATAATCAGAAGCAGAGGGAGAATCTTCAGCAATAGGAACTACATGCATTGGAAAGGGGTTATCGTGAACTTGAGAATGTGAATTATGAAACGGAAATATCTCCTCATGGAAAACCACATCCCTTGATATGAAAACCTGTCTTGTTTCCATATCTAGAAACTTATATGCTTTCATTCCATTAGGATATCCTAGGAATACACAACTTCTTGCTCGGGGCTGAAATTTCGTTCTATTAGCATGGAGAGTAGATGCAAATGCTAAGCATCCTAATGTTTTGAGTTGAGAATGATCTGGACATTCATTGTAAAGCTTCTGATAAGGARAAACATTACCAATGGCTCGAGATGGTGTCCTATTTATCAAAAARGTTGCTGCCATGACACATTCCGACCAATATTTAGAAGGGATCTTTGACTGGAAAAACAGGGCTCTGGCAACATTTAACAAATGTTGATGTTTCCGTTCAACAACCGAGTTTTGYTGTGGCCTCTCTACACATGAATATTGATGCAACACACCTCKGCTATGGAAAAACTCAGTGAATGCCAATTCTTTTGCATTRTCTGATCTAAAAATTCTTACCTTTGCTTCAAACTGCGTAAGAACCATATCAAAGAATCTAGGAATGATAATTTGAGCTTCAGACTTGTGTTTRATCAAGTAAACCCATGTGTATCTAGTGCAATCATCAACAAGAGTCACAAAAAATYTATGCCCCTGATATGAATCAATATGATATGGCCCCCAAATATCACAGTGAAGAATATCAAACGGTTTATTCGAGATTTTATTCAATGAAACAAAAGGTAAACGTTTTTGTTTTGCCAAAGRACAAATGGAACAAACATGCTTGTTTATATCTTTTCCAACAAAAATYTCCTTATCTATCATCGTAAGCTTCTTGTTTGACGGATGCCCAAACCGTCGGTGCCATGTTTGTACGGAAACAACATTCACCTTCACTGGAGCTGCCTGTTCCAATATGTAGAGACCTCCTTGTTTGCTACCCTTGCCAATCATCATCTCGTTCTTCATCAGCTGTATGATAGCAAGATTATGATAAAAAAGAACCATAGCTGTTCGATCCATTGTTAGAGCGTCTTCTGCACGCATCATTTTTTTTCTTCTTCTTCGATCGAATTGATTTTTCCCGTTTACTGTATTGATTTGATTATTGATCGATCAATTTTTTTCTGTTCCTCTGTTCTTTGATCTTTGGAAGGTCAATTTTCTTTTCCGATTGTTTTTAGGTTTTGTTCATATTGATTTTTCAGATCCAGATCTGAACCAGAACGATTCAATGGGTGAATCTACAATGCGTTCCACTACTACTGTCGAGATTGATGATCCGTATTTTTTGCATCACTCAGATAGCCCTGGTCTTGTGTTGGTTTCGCAAATTCTTACAGGTGAAAATTATGCCTCTTGGAGCAGAGCAATGGAGATAGCCCTATCTGTAAAGAACAAAATTGGTTTCATAGATGGAACTCTTTCCAAACCGAATGTTTCTAATCAACTGAAAGTGAAGTCATGGATCAGGAATAACAACATCGTTATTTCTTGGATTTTAAATTCGGTATCCAAAGACATATCGGTTAGCATCATTTACTCTGATTCGACTTATGAAATGTGGAAAGAACTTAAAGAAAGATTTCAACAGAGTAATGGGCCACGTATTTTTCAAATCAAACGTGATCTGATGAATCTGACACAAGGTCAAGATGTTGTGAGTGTCTATTTCACAAAATTGAAGGTACTATAGGAAGAGTTATCGAATTACAATGTTCATTGTTCTTGTGGGAAGTGCACATGTGGTGGAGCAAAAGAAATAGAACACACCATGAACTTTTTGATGGGTCTAAATGATTCTTATTCACAGATTCGAGGGCAAATACTTTTGATGGATCCAATTTCGCCTGTAAATCGTATTTTTTCTCTTGTTATACAAGAAGAGAGGCAAAGAGTTGTAGGTGTAAACCAACTCCAAAATCAGTCTATGGCTCTCAACGTTCGGAGTGCAAATTTTAACAAGTCTCGTGTATCTAGTAATCAAACTTACAGAGGTTTCAAGAAGGATCAACCACCTTTCTGTACTCATTGCAAACGAACAGGCCACACTCAAGACAAATGTTACAAGCTCCATGGTTTCCCCCCTGGTTATAAAGTGAATCAGAATTCTAGTGTTAATTCTGTGATTGATAACCATTCTGCTGCTAATTGTGTCATGTCTGGACAACAGCCAAARCCTGATGTTGAACGACCCGTTAATGACAGTGTACCTGGAGTCAAAGGTGTCGTGGATGGTCTCACAAGTTTTCAGTGCCAACAGTTGATGGCAGCACTTTCTGGTAGACTTGCTTCCGTTAATATTGCTGCAGTAGAAAAATATTCAGGTATATGTCATGTTTTGACATTTAATTCGAAATTATATAAATCRAATGTTTGGGTACTGGACTCTGGAGCAACTCAACATATTTGTCATGATGAAAGTTTGTTTCTGAGCACTAAAACTGTTAACAATCTCAAAGTAGTGTTGCCTAATCAAGAGGTTATTAAAGTGCACAAGAAAGGGGACGTTAAACTCACTGATGAGTTATTTCTCAAAGATGTTTTGCTAGTGCCTCAATTTCATTTCAATTTGATTTCCATTAATGCTCTGATACCATATTGTAAATCTGAGATCTGAGAGAGAGTGTTTTTCCATATTATTTACTCAATGCAAACAAGTATTTATACAACAGGCTAAAAGATATTGTACACTCGGGAACACCGAAACAACCATAGACCG